GGGGGGGGGGGGGGGGAAGTTCCTCTGGAGGGAGATGAGACCAGCACTTCACAAGAGATTGGAAAAATTGTTAAGCAAGGATTAGTCCAGGAATGCATTTTTTTAACCAACAGCAAAATGCTTTCGTAGATTCAACACATTTTACCAAAAAAAAAAAAAAAAAAGAGTTTTTTTTTGCTACCACCATCTATATGACCAGTTTAGGGCTTAATAGCCCTAAACTATCTCACAGATGAGGCTACAGACCTTCAGCTGAAACTATCACTTCATCACTTAGGAAGAATGCGTCACCTCACAAAATTCACCCTAATGACTGCTGTGAAAAAAAAAAAAAAAAGACCTTCCAGCCACCACAAAACAAAGTGCTCGTTCTGAAATAAGTGACATCATTGGCAAATTAATACGTTCCACGGTCAGAGGAATTATTGCACTTACAAAGCAGATATATTTGTCATACTTTTGAGCAAAGCTGAACGCTGGCCACCTGAGACTCAACCATCTCTCCAGCTCTGCTCTGCTGCGGGAACAAGGTAGTTTGCCCCATCCCTGGAAGTGTTCAAGGCTGGATGGGGCTTTGAGCAACCTGCTCTAGTAGGAGGTGTCCCTGCTCATGGCAGGGGGTTGGAAGGAGATGATCTTCAAGGTCTCTTCCAACTCAAACCATTCTATGATTCTGACGCAGACAGGGCAGCGAGAAGATGGATGGGCACGTCTATGGCACACAAAAAAGGGACAGGACCAGGCACCAGGATGATTCCAGAGCGCAGGATTAAACCACACCACTGCTGCAACAAACACATCTTATGGCCAAAAAACACTGCATGGAGTTCCACACCAGCGAGGCCTTAATTCGCACCTTCCCAAAAGCAACCCCTTGCCCAGGCAGTGAAGAGAGCTCTGATTATCACCAGCAAAACCCAGCGCAAATTAAAGCGGTGGGGAAAAAACCACCACTGGTTATTAACTGGAAACGAGAAACGATCCTGGTTTCCCTGACAGTTTTGTTGTCTTTCCCTATTTTTAAATACTTTATCGGGTTGAGAATGTCACTAAATGCCTCTGTGATCGCACGAGGCCACACAGCAGCCTGCCACCCGTGAACGCACACAGGGAGGGAAACCCTCACCCCCCATATTCTCTGTTAAATGCAAAAATTTAGACACATTCACCGGAGTAAATCTGAGTAAATTGCTTAATGCACCCATGAATATTTTGTAACATACATCACTTCTACCATCAGCTGCTTTATATCCACAGTTTAGATTCTTACCAAATTTTCGTAGATTCAACACATTTTACAAAAAAAAAAAAAAAAAGTGGTTTTTTTTAGTCTTGCGATAAATATTTGACATTTTTAAAAGGAAGGTGATATAAAATCCAGATTTTTGTTTATGGTGTTCTGAGATGCAATTGGCTCTCGGTTGTCTTTGGGAGCAAGGGATCAGCGTGAAGGTAAATAAAAAATAAATTAAAGCATAATTATGATCTGTTGATATTTTTGAACACAGCTAAACTGGGGGAGGTGTGAGTGTGGTTGAAAATTTTAGTAACTGAATGTGGCTGATGACTGCTTTCCTGCTGCAGTCACTCTCCAAAAGGAGAAATGGGCTATCTTACTTTATGTAACTGCCACTAGTAACTGTTTGGTCGCTTCTTTGGGAAGTTCATCAGCGCAACACCCAGGTCTTTTCGAGTCTAGTGCTGCCTTATGGCCACTGCTGGTTTAAGAGTGGAGTGACATTATAAAACATAAATTAGTATGTTGCTGATGAAACCAAGGAGATAGACATGAGGTTTTTCTATGACTTGTTTTGTTGGTAAAAAATTATAATAACCAGGTTCATTAATGATGACAATCTCATTTTCTGTCTTATTTCCCGCATTTGATTACTTTCCAACATGTGCAAATGAACCTATCTTTCTTCATCTTGTCTCTAAGTCTTCTGGGCTTCTGAGCACCTGTCAGTGCAGAGGTCCATCATCCTGTTTTTCTAAGTCTTTTGGGCTTCACAGAAGCTTTTTGGCTTTTGCACTTGCAGTTTACTTTAGGCATAGAGGGGTATTTGGGCAACGTAGGTAGGAGGGAGAATACCCACACTTTTGAGATGGCAAAAGGCAAGAGTTACTAAGGGAATCTGCGAAGAGACACACTAACAGCAAGTCAGTAAATTAAACTGTCTGCTCTTTAGCTGCCGTGTAATTGAAGGAGCAGGTCTGGACCATGCACAGTGTAGTTAAAGCTGCTTCAGCAACTGCAGATGTCCTGCAGTGTGGTCTGCTAGCGTGTCATTGAGCTTTTCAAGGTAAGCTCTTGACAGGTGCCTGTGATTTGAGAACCCCTACATGAAATACATGTTTTCTTCCTTACAATGTATGGCAGGAATTTTGAACAAAATGACAGTGTTTGGGGTGATTTTTTTCAGTAGGACAGGGGAGAAGGGCAAAGAGGGTAGCAAAAATAAGCTTGTTATGTCACAGAGTGACACTAGGAATATCACAGCGAGAAGGAGAGACTGCTGTTCCTCCACGTTAGTGCTTTTCTCCATAGGAATTATAAACAGAGTTTCTGTAAGAATTATTACTAATAAGCATGGATGTCTTTGCTGTCACATTAAAAATGCTACCAGTGACAAAATATAGCTAGAAGTGCAAAAAGAAAAGCTAAAGAAATAAGAAATTTAACTTTTGCTATAAAAGGTGAATGACAACAAGTGTTTGATAGCTCAGTCAACTGGCAATAAGGTTAGTTTTTAGCAGAAGATGCTTAATAAAATATTTCTCCTTTGAACTGTTAGAGCAGAGAAAATGAATGTGACATCTCAAAGACTTTGAATGAAGCATTTATTACATAGTTTCACAGCTCTAACTTTTCTTCCCTTTTATTTTCAGATCTTAGAAATTATAATATTCTGCATTCTTCTCTATTTTTACAAAAGAAAGGCTGTGAAGCACATCGTGGTTTTGTTAATGATGGTAGCACTACTGGGTAAGAACATATTATTCACTTTAATGTTCCTGTCTGTTACTTGATAATTCCTTGTCACTCAGTCTCCCCAGCTAGTTTAGATTAGTGCCATTTCAAAGCAGCGTGCTGAAGGAGAACCATTGAAACATTTCCCAGGACTTTTACTGTGGTCTCTTTTTGAAGAGAAAAGCTGATTATGAAACATAGATTCTCTGCTTATTGCTGGGACTATCTCTTTTTCCAGATTTCCTGAAATTAATTCATTGTGTGCAATGATATTCTGTAGCTTTTTTAAAATAACATTTTAGCTGTAGATCCTGGGAAAGGGGACTGTTTGAAACTTTGTTTTGCAGGGCAGGCTAGCTGTGAAAATAATTTCCTTAAAACAGAGCAGTTTAAGACCTTGTAAGCACTCTGTAAGCAAATGTGGTGATATGCTGTACAGGAACTTTTCTTTGAATTATCTATGCCTGTTTGCACATGCAAGTTTTCATACTTTACCACCTTTCCAGAAGCACAGCAAGAACTCAGGGGGCCACTGAAGTTCTAATTAACATTGCCACAATCAATACCCAGGGAAGCAAGGGTGATAATTTTATCAGTAAACTTTCAGTAAAGTTAAACTCAAGTCAGTTTTGAAAAATGTCAGGCATCTTCCTGTAAAGCTCCACCACTTGCAGGGATATATTAAGAATTTGTCACCACTCTATCTCCTGCCATCTTCATCTTGTCACTTCTCCATGAAACCCTGATGGGACACAACATTTCTTCGGTTGAAGTGAAAGGTGCTTGAACTGTTTTCACTGAGTTCAGTGGGTGCACGTATCAGTCTGCAAAGACTTAAAAAACACATTTCTAATGGAGCTTTGGTCATGAGTGGTTGCTAATGGTCAGGAGTGTTTTGATAAAATAGAATTTCGCTGAAGTTTGCCAGTTACACAATTTGGTTTTAACTGAATGAGAAAAACCTTCACAGATTTATTAACTGCCTTCCTTCAGATCCCTCACTGGTTTCTTATCAGCTAAAAAGCCCAGACTTTCAGATCAACTTTCTTGGGACAGTCTTCCCATTTAAGTTTCCCAAGGCTAGGAACATCAGGATCTGTAGCTCTGCAGAAGCCATAAAGGATTTCCATGGTCCCTGCATGAGGCAGAGATGGAAGAGCCCCAAAAGCCTTAGGTTTAGTGTTTGACTGCTCTTGGTTTGGAGGAGGGAAGTGCGAGTCCAGCCAGCCCTCATCTCCAAGTATGGGGCCAAGGGCCTTCAGCAGAGCTCACTTGAGCTGCTCTGCAGTTTCTTACCCTGCCATGAGGAGCATGGAGCACTGCACACTCCTGAGCAACGAGCGAGTCCAGCCTCCTTGTTACATATCTGGAAGCCTGAAGATCCCCAGATGGGCTTCTACACTTGACTGCTGCAGTTCTGGACAGACCCACCACGATGGCTGCCCCAAGCAAGGTCAATATACAGCTCTAGGATACATTGGCCATTGGGCTGCATGGCCCTATGTGCTTCCTTTGCCATGAAGCCTGCCAGCCCTGATGCCACTGGTGCCAAAGGGACACGTGGAGCTGCTGAACAGCAGCAGGGCTGCAAACACTTGCCACAGCAGGCGTGTTATAACTGTAGTTTGGTGGTCAGGCTGCAATCAACCAAAAATAACAATTTCAGCTGGTGGCTGCTGACATTTTGGTGAGCATATGCAGCTTCAGGAAAAATGTGTCATTATTTCTGCTCTATTAAAAAAGACACAAACAAACAAATCCTGGTTCATGGGAACTTTTGAAATACTGACATTTCCCTCGAGCAGGAAACCCAGAACTGTGGCTGGCTCTGGTTCCTGCAGCCATCCTGGTGCCTGGCAGTCCCCACAAAGCTACACTTGGAGCCTTCTGCTTGCTCTTCGACGTTTCTGCTGAGCAAAGTGATGCGGGGCTGAGAGGTCCCAGAAGCTTTTCTCCCAGCCATCTGGTACTTGCACTGTCCTCGGAGGGCCCTGGTGTGGGAGGGGTGGATGAGCCTTTGGGTCTCTGTGTGGAAAATTCTCAGTGGCAGCTCGTGGAAGGGGATTTCTGCCTTTTCTCATATCTGCATAGATACATTCCTGGTAGAGGGTTTGTAGAGATGTAAGTGAAATGTAGAAAGATTTCTTTAAAAAAAACATAGCCTTTGTGCTTCATTGGGTATGAGAGCTACTTTCATTATGAAGAAAATAGAGGTTATTGTAAAATCTGCAAATGTTTTACTTAGTAAAACTCTGTAAGCTCATTTGTTGAGAATTATTTTACCTCATGTATATACTGGGAGTTATCATAAGTTTGGGGGGAAATATTTGAGATTAAAGTGGGATTTCTGAGTTTCCTGCTCTAACAGCTGGAAAGTGACATCATTTGTCACACTAGCCTTGCAGGGGGGTCATTCTATCAGCGATAGGAAAACCATTTCCTAGGTTTTGAAACTTATTCCAGGGCTACTTTAACTCAAAAGTTCATTCCATTTTTCAAAAAAAACCCATACCAACCAACCAACCAAAAAACCCCTGATGCTTTCTTTTCTGGTTTGTTAAAATTATAAGGGATGGAAACTGCCCTTTCAGCAGAAACAATTTTTCATCAATCTTTACCCTTAGTTGGACAATTCAAAGGACTAATTTTTACCTGTAAGTGTTCTTTTAAAATAATAGCTCTCTCACATTAGAGTGCAAATCTCAATTTTTATGTAGGGTGCTTGTTGGGGCTTGAGTGTAGTTTTTTGGCTTTTTATCATACCATTAGCACCGCTGCAGGCCAAGATTTGACCTCCTCTGCTCACTTTTATTGCTATGTTTGTTAAACTGCTCCACCTATGTCCAGTACAGAGCAAGAAGTGAAGTACTAGGTGGAAAGGTTGTCATGAAAACAGGATCATCACAAGATGTATGCAACTCTTAAACTCCCCCTGAACTTTTGGACTTGCTATAAGAAAAATGCTCGCAATCAAAACCACAGACCTGAATCTGTTCTTCTTCCCCCACCTTTTCTCCCAAGGCTTGGCCTGAACTTTTTGCACAGTGCAGCTCCTCTTGCCAACCTGAATTTTGCAGTTACAGGAGGATGAATCAAACCACCGAAATCCAACACTCCTCAGCTCCGGGAGAGGCTGGAACTGGATCCCAGCTGGGGGACAGTGCTCCTGACGATTAATTACCTTTCTTCAAAGGTCATCTCTGCGCCCTGACTCTCGTTATCATTTTTTGTTTATTTTGAATTTGTTACATTTTACTTGCAGCGATCACAGCGTACTTGGGTTAGCTTCAACAAACCAAGAGCGCACTCCAGAAGGAAATCTGAAGTAACTCTTAGCTGAACTGTCAGTCCCTCATCTAAAAGATGAATATTGCAAGACTTCTCAGAACTGGCGACATGTATTAAAACCATCGCCTGTTTTCTGAGATTTGTTTCAGATGATGCAATGGCAGTGACTAAATGGATTGAAAACACACTACTGAAGTATTCTATTCAATGGGCTAAGTCCAGTAAAGGTCTTAAGAGCCCGGCCCGTGAAACGAAACACAGACCCCTGTGTTGGTTGATTGCTCCCTGTGCAAAACCAGAGGGGAGAGTTAGGCACCTTGTGATGCGACCCCAAAAGTCAGCTTTGGCCAGCCTTGGCCAGCTCCCGTCTCAGCAGAGGAACCCTGAGGGTGAGGAGTTATTTTAGGCTGCTGGTGTCACATGCAGGCTGCTATTAAGAGGTGTCCCAGCCATTTTGTACGGAAAAAGAGACCTCTCAGACCTCTCCTGAATAATGCATCATGGGCTCCAAATTAGCAGCTGGAGGATAAAGTATGTCTGGAAGATGTGGAGACTGTTGTACCACCTCCATCTGGTAGTCCAGTATTTAGGATTTGCCCAGCAGGGGGAAATGGATCCAGTACTTTCCTCTACCTGGGCTCAGCCTGTCTCAGGCACACTCAGAGTCCTACCTTGCAAGATTTTATCTGACTCTAACCTCAGTTACTGTGTTAGAAATTGGGTAGATGCAGGGTTGCAGATTTCAGTGCTACAAGATTTTCCAAGCAAAACACAAAGCACACATGGAGTTAAGGCCGCTCTGAGTTTAGGCAGTAACTTGGTGAGTGTTTGTAAAACCAAACGCTTGGTTTTAGGTGCCCAAATCCTACCTCAGTGTGTCTGCAGGTTATCAGCTCTGTGGCTCTGACCTGACACCTTGTCCTCCCTCATGGATGCTCTAAGATCCCTGTTGTGAATCCTGCCCAGCTAATCTCTCCCTTTCCCTTTCAGCCTCACTGACTGTCATTGCTGTAAAGGCTGTGGCCAGCATGATAACACTCTCTGCAAAGGGAAAAATGCAGCTAACGTATCCTGTTTTCTATATCATGATTGTTTTAATGGCAACTTCTTGTGCTTTCCAAGTCAAGTAAGTGAGTTTCTACTTATCTCCTAACATTTGTACCCATTTGTCTGTCATTTTTTTTCCAGTACTGAGATCAACTCCAGATCCAAGTTGCACTTAAAGGCAACAAATTCCTGGCAGAACCTTGACAGATGCATGAATTGCCTACAGCTGAGTGTATTGTTTATTTAGGCTTTATTTCTCAGTTTTTAATTAATTAATTATACAGAAGCTACCTCATCTCATTAGCACCTTATACAAGGTCTTAACAAATGTAATTCTAGTTTTGGCACAAGTTTTGAACTCATGAAATGAAATTTTTTTTGGTTACTTTTAGCAACTTCCATTGCTGAATAATCCAATGGCCATGTTTACCCTCATTATGCATATCTTTCCCATAGCCTATGTCAACCATCAGACCAAAAAAAGAGAACTTACCCCAACTTTCTCCCTGCCTCTGTTAAATCTGCATGTTGTGTTTGCTACCCTGTATGTCTGTACTTTTTAAAGAAATAGTTAACTTTTGGTGAGCAGGGGACATCTGAGTTTTCCCTGTTGGCCTCTGGCTGTTCAGTGATTGTTTTATGCTGCCTTCACAGATTTCTGGGGGTGGCAGCATGGTAAAATATGACTTGCAGCTGAACTGAGAGTCCGTTCCCTTTATGTCGGTCCCTCTGCTTCAGGTGCTGATAGCATCATTCAGTAATCTCATCTAGACTGCTCCAGTGCGAATCTGAGTGTTTACTTGCATGATTATTTTCCGGTAGAAGAGCCAACCCAGCTTTCTCGTGGCAGAACATACCATTCCCATGTGGAATCAGAAAGTCCATGCGTTATTATGCAGTGACTCTCCATGGCTGACTCGGGAACTCCCCTGTAACAGATTATAAAGTGATTTACATCCAGCTTGTCTTTGCTGGGAGAACAGCTCAGGGCGTTTAAAATAGGAAATAAAAACTTGGTAAATAGGAAGCTGCTGAATTAACTTCTCCTTCTTGCCAGTTTTTCTTTCTTTCATTTGCTGGGTCAAAATTAAAACTGAAGTGGAATGTGCCCATTTCAATCCCTGGGCTCAATGTCTCTTTCTGTCTTCTTGGTTGGACACGTTTTCTAAAAAAGAGAGTGCTGTCAGTCTAAATTTTTCATTTTATTTGTTTCCTCTCTTATTTTATTGGACTGTTGTGTGTTAGCTCAGAACAGCCTGTGCTGCAACGTCCTCCTGGATTCAGTGCTGGGCCTTGGTATCACTGTTTTGGTCCCTGTGACCAAGTTTGTTGCAAATGGGAGAAAATAATGAGGTGTTTTCAATGACTTCAAAATCCTGACTATCCTGTGGATATGTAGGATTTCTTTATTTTTAAAGCACCATGGAGACTGTTCAACAGTTGCTAAAATAACCATGCAATTACTTTAATGGCTAAAACAGATCCAAGCTTGGATTTTTACTGTGCACATATATCGTACCAGTGAAACATTTAAGTGTGGTTCTTTTTATAGGTTTTGAATACACTCTGCAGCCTCCTGATTTTTCTCTTTTGGTCTGAAACGCATCATTCACATAACAGAGTATCTGCCGGTGCATCCGAGAGTTCACACTCATGATTCATCACCCTGTGTGTAAATGTTGATAGCTCTGGTCTCTGTAGAAGTGCGTTAGTTGCTTTGCCTTTTTCATCAGCTGATGAAGACTGGGCGGGCTTCTCCATGGCCAGTGTCTTAGTCCTGCAGGTTTGTGTGCAGTCTATGCTCCTGCACACTCTTGCTCTTGATTCTGGTGAGGGTTTGTGTTGCCTTTCTGAGAAGCACAGCAGAGAGTTTCCAACCCAAGGAGCACAGGCTTGGAGCCGCCTTCCTGGACTTTCCCGGCAGGACAGAGTGTGTCTGGGGTAGGATTGCATGGATAAACATACAAATATGTGTTGTAGCCAAGTTGGATTGAGCAGTAGCAGCATGGGGACTTCAGCAAAGTGAAACAGTTCCTACGAGGACTTGCGTGTTCATGTCCGTGCTGGAAATAATACCCTAACACAACCTGTTTAAATTAGAGCAACTTGTCCCTGGCTGCTCGCAGGCAGCACTGCTTCCAAGAACCAATGCAGACCATAAGCAGTAATACCCCAGCATTCCTCCCTTATCTGTGGCAGACAAAATTTTTCCAACAGTGCTTCAAAGGACTCTCCAATGACAGCCTATGGCCAGAAGAACCACGGCAAGCCTCTTGCTTTTGCCTATTTGTTTGTACTCTGCAGAGTCAAAACCAGAAGGTAAATTCAATAGACACATGCATCTCTGCAGGGCTACTTGCTATTTTGCTAAGAAATGGTCACACTTATTGTTAAACTGACATAAAGTGTCTTAACCTGACTTAAAGTGCAATGAATCTCCTGTGGGCATGAGGTGCAATAACGCTTGTCTTCCAGGTTCTTGAATCAAGCAATGAGTCTGTATGAAGCGACAGCAGTTGTGCCCATTAATTTTGTGTTCTTCACCACCAGTGCCATCATTTCAGGTTTGTTTCTGGCCTTCTGCCTTCACAGAACGATTTTCTAAACATCAGGTTTTCAAGAATAACTGCCTGTGAACAGAAACACAAACCAGTCATGTTTGTCTTCCAAAAAAAAATTTTTCCTAAGTGACAGGTGTTTAAGCTCTGAAAAATGAGTTAGTTCCCAACTTTTGAAGCAAAAATAAAAATAACCAAATTCTAGCATTTCCAGAATTTATATGTATGGTTTACTGTGCCTTGCATACTAGAAGTACCTGCATTTATCCTAGCCTCATCTTGACATCCAGTAAATGCATTTACCATGTGCACACCAGCCTCTCCATATCCGAACTGGTAGAGTAATTTTAACAGCCTGGCAAACTACTCAAATGACAACCAGCTGTGTTTCATAGTAGTTAGTGTATATTCAGTTTCAGAAGGTGGAATTCTAGGTTAAGTGAAGGAAATAAAATGACTCCAAAGACCTTTTAAGCATTTAACGTTTTATTCTGGGTGAGAACTTCGAACTCAGTGTTGTTAAAGGAGGACTGCAAATCTTGGGAATGATGCGCAGCGTAATAACACGAACGGGGAGGACGACTAAGATGCTGCATCAGCAATGAGCCAAAATGATCATGTTGTTAGAACATTTATGACTCATTTTAACGCACGCTGGGGGCTTTCCTGTCATTGCTGTGCCGGAGTTTCTCATGCAGAGCTGCCATTAATGAGAAGGGGAGTTAGGTTCATGCACAGATTGCCTCAGCACCTGCGTTAGACGAGACCTACACTTTGTGACTGAGAGGAGACTTGTGCCAAAGGGGGGTTGCGTTCTTGTGACCATATGGGGAATTTGGCCTTGGGCCGCCTTAAAAGATCAAGTACCTATTCAGGAATGGCTTAATAGCTTTGAGACTGGATACACACGCATTTGCACCAGGTTACTTAAACCAGTGTAGGGCTTAGAAGAACAACCTCTGCTGAATCTTGCTGGGGTGCTCATAGAAGACACCTCATCTCATGATTCCTCCACCCCAAGTTACAGCCTTTGAAGATACAGTCACACTTCAGCTGCCCTGGTTCACACTCTGGCGTTTCTAGGCAAAACTATGCTCATCATTGGTTTAAAGCTAATATTCTTGGCTGTGAATTGGGGCAGCTGAGATCCAGATACACATCTGGTTCTGTCACCTCCACTGCAGAGGTGCTAATTCCTGAAAGAGGGGTGACCAGAAAGAGTTAGTGATCCCTTCAGCCAGAAAGATTTGGCAAACTTGGCTGCTGGAGCTCTTAACTTGGTGTAAACATCAGGGACACAGCTAGTTATAGCAAACCTGTTCCCAATTGGAGTTAAGATGTCCACATGGTCTGCTGGAGTGGCTTAACTAAATCCATGAAGAACCTGTTAGCTATATTGGTATGACTCTGCTTGTGAATAAGACCTTGAGTTTGACCTGCATAAAAACTGTTGCTGACAATGCAAAAAATACCTGCATCTGTGCAGTTACTAACACAGCACATGCTCCAAACGGAGAGACTAAATCTTCTCCAGTCCTATGCAGTATCTCAAGAAAGTCTAAATAATGGAATACGGGCACATGAAGTGAACCCATCACAATGTGTATTAATACCTTATTTGGGATTTTTTTTGCTCCATTTGAGCATGACACTGCTCCTGACCCTCCCAGCTGTAATTCATATCACTTGGAAGCCAGTCAAGATCTGCAATTCTTGTTTCTGTCACATTCCAGGGCTCATATTTTATCGGGAATTCCAAAGTGCAGCTTTGCTGAACGTGTTCATGTTTCTGTTCGGGTAAGTGTATCAGCCTAAAATCTGCACTAACAGTTGTATTGAAACAGCATTGCCTTGTGGAATCCCTTCTTTTCTCAGTAAGAAGAAACCCGTCTTGTTATTAAAGTATTATGGAATAGCCATTATAGTAGGATAAAAAAACATTAAAGGAAAGATTGATGTCTGTGCTTTGGGAGTTAGGAGGCCTGGTTTTGAATCCAAATATGTAAAAATGTGAGACACTTATGAACTACTAATCTCATGACGGAATGAAAAACCAGCAGCATGTGTTCCTCCAGCAGGAAGGAGAAGTCACTGTTCTCCACAAAAGGGTGGGGGTGCTTTTACAACTGCGAGAAATCTCTTCCCACGTTACCTTCCACTTGCGTGTCCGTCTGATCTTTGCTGCCACTGACCATGGGCAATTTTATGAGATGCTTGCCTACGAGGCAGTACTATAGTATGTCTCCCTCATCTTCCTAGGTGTTGTGAGAGCAGAAACCTTCTGCTGGCTCCCAGCACCTTAACGACCCTGGGGGCATGTGACAGTTACTTGATAATGGACATGAGATGGTTAAAAGCATCTCCCAGAACTGCTGGAGGTGTCTTGCCACAGTGCTGTCAGATAAAGAGGGCTGATAATTACAGACATCTTCATGCTCCGCAGTCAGATCAGAGTAGGTACATACAACCGCTATGTTGTTTGACTGCAGGAAAAGTGACAGAAAATGGAGATGAACAAATTCAACCCATGTATTTGGCAGGCAGGAATTAGTGGTTGTGTGTCCAGCACAGAGCAGATAGAAGATTTATCCAAGCAGAGCAGTTTCTCATCACTCCTGGCTTACAGCTTGCCCCTGAGACACACAGTCAAACGAGAAAAACAACAGAGATGTTGATTATCTGCAGCAAGACTGAGTTGTTAATGAAATTGTAAATGCTAGAATGCTAGCTTAGATGCTCTGTGAAGGTCTGCTCAGGGATTCAGATGTTGTGGTCTCACGCTCACAGGCATTTGATTAGGTATATATTGCTGAAAGTGTAATTTTGGCTGCAGAGCCTTTGGAACTGATAATAAAGCTTCAGGAGGCAAAAAATAGACTGAAAGGGAGCTCAAGATGAATTTATAGGGCTGCCAGGAAAGAAAAGTTTCTTTATAAGCTGAGCAGCTTGAGTTTGGAAGTCCTTGAAAAAGAAATGTGGAAAGACACTCTCATCTCAGATGCAGTGAACTGTTTCTAATGATACTGTGCCACTGTTATTTTGCAGGTGTCTCTTGTCTTTCCTTGGTGTATTTGTAATTGCAAGAAATAAAAGAGAGGAGCATTTACAAATTCCTTTTATTGACTGTGGACTTATTCCTGGTAAGTATGGCTTTTTTTCTGTCTCTGTTTAAAAATGAGGTATCAGATAATGGGATGACCTAAGAGAGTTGAGTCACAAATGTGCTCTAGTCATATTTAATAAATATACTGTTCCCTTAATTTCTATTCCTGTTCCCAACAGATTTTTCAAAGAATTTTTCAGAGTTTTTCCAAGCTATTGTTACAACCAGTCAAATGAAAACAATGATTACTGGAGCAAAGAATGTTTAAATGATGGATTGGTGGGGGATTTGTTTTATTAAAATTCTTCACAGAGTTGTTGTTTTTCCCTCTCTCACCCCATTTCCTTAGGAAAAAAAATGACAGGCAAAATACAACCAGATTCTCGCAGTTCATGCTATGGCACTTTGAATAATGAAGACAACTCAGTGAAAAGTCAAAGCTGAAAGAAAAAAGCACCTTACATGTCAATTAACAGGAGGAACACCACTGGAATGAGGATCAGCAGCACCTTTTTGTTGGACGTATTCAAGCATATGTTGAACTCCTGTATGTTGATGAGTCATAGTATTATTTAATCCTACTTAATTTATCCCATGTCTGTCCCAAATGTGTTCTGAAGATAAAGGAAGCCTTAAGAAAAACTAAATAACCATTAATGAAATGGAGCATCCCGGTAGTATCAACGCCGCTTGGTGATATTTTTAGAGTCTTAATTGCCTTGAAATGCAAATAGGCACAGAACAGGATTATGAAAATTCTCCTTTGAAGCCCCCCGGATCTGTGTAGATGCTTAAAGACAAAACTGGAAAATGAGGAGGATTTTCATAAATTACTTCAAAGTATTCTGCTATATGTATAATACCTTTAAAAATTGTATCCTTCCTGCTCAAGAATCAAAAATGCGGGCTTATATACAGTATACACAAGTATATACACACAAAGTATTTTATATTATGTGTAGAGGGAAAATCTTATTTTCTGCCATCAGACTAATTATCTTACCTTCCAAGGAAATAAGTACTTGTATGAGGAGGGGGAAAGAAGAGAGCAGTTGCCACAGCCATAGGCACGTGCACACACACACACACACATGTTTGTGGTACCCAGCAAAGGCAGGGCGAGGGAGCCAGGCTTGACATTTTACATCCTCCCAGGAGACTCCTCTGCACTGGCCTGGAATATACTACCTGTTAGTATAGCGTAGCCTGAGGTTTAGCCTCTTCTGGTTTTGGGAAAACAAGGTTGTAGTTAAGAAAGTGCGAAATTCTCCAGAGGGACTGGGGTAGCCAGGCTCTCTCCCTCAATGCGTCTTGGAAAAATACTCCTAAAAAAGAAAAGTAGGACAACTGCTTCCTTCTTAAACTGCTGGTGATCCAGGATAAGGAACGGCTGTAAGGAACAGGGTCACAAAGAGTCATGGTAACAGAACAATTTTTCCTTCATTAAACGGTAGTGTCTCCATGCTGATTTGAAGAGCCAGCAGTGATGGGAACCATGGCAATACAGGCTCTGCAGTCAGGTCTGGGAGGTCTCTGTGTCCCTCAGTCCCTGCCTCCCAGCAAGAAAGCTTCTTCTGGGAGTTCATCATGGATCTCTTTACCCCTGCCTGGTAGCACTGATCTGTCTCAGATGGCACAGCGAGGGTCAGGCACCTCCTCTGCAGAAAGAAGTGAAAGTGCTCTTGAAAAGCATTTGTGTCTTGGACAAGATACTTCTTTTAGGTTTGCATTAATCTGCAGTAATGGTTAAGGGCCATAGGCTGTATGGATTTTGCTTCAGTGGCATATGAGGAAATGAGATCTCCTTTTTTTCCCGGAATAATTTTTTATTTCATTTCAAAGTAGGTACAGTTGAAGGTACGTAACACAATTTCATTTCAAACCCTACAAAGGGCACAAATTGCTGCAGTTTTTTCTATGCAGCAATATCCTGGGAGCCAGGGCACAGGGTGGGGGGGTGTGAAGTTGTTTTCCAACCTGGACCTTTTCCAGCTGGCACAGGACGAGGCTCTGTGTCTGCACCTTACTTGTACCAGCTGCCTGCCTGTGGCCTTCCTTTCCCCTCTTACAGCTTGAGTTCAAGTTTCTAAAGCTTAAAATAACAGAAAAAAAAAGCGCACATTCTTTTTGTATGCTTTCTCCAGGGAATAAGGGCATGCCTCTATCTTTCTTTTGCAAGTCAAATTTAAGCCACTTTCTAAGTCTCAACTGAGAATGTGTGCTAAAGATGCAAATAGGAGGCCCACAGTTTTTCGTTCTGTCACCTCAGAAACAAATGGGTGAAAGGATTTGGTTTTATTTCTTTTTTAAATGATTGGCCTTGGGCATCTTTCCGAAATCTGTTTCCATGATTCAGGAGGCTGGGTGAGATAAAATGGGTTACCTGGTATAGGATTTTCTCTTTAAAGCAGGAACCTCTAACCTCTTTAAGGTCCCTTCCAACCCAAACCATTCTATGATTCCATAAATCAAACTTAATAGTCTGTGGCAGGTTCTTATTTATTTTAAACTACTGTCTTTCTTCTTGAACAACACTTCTTTTCTTCCCGTGGGTTTATAAAAAAATTAGAAGGGTTAAAATGTTTTCTGTAAACTTGAATGTAATTGAAATTAATTTATGGAGCAAAATACTGGTGGGAATTAAGTGCAATTAAAATTTGTGATTTGACATGATTTTTGAGATGTGAGCATGTTCCAACTAATTAATGTATTACAAGATTGGAAAAACTCAGAGATGAGAATTCATTACTACTCTGCCAAGAAAGGGACAGGATTTGTTTCAAGAATCAGTTTCTAATCAATGTCATTTTCAGATTCTGCTTGTGATATTTAGGTTGCAAACACCACAGACAAATGCCTGCTAAAAGAAAAGCCTTCCACTGGAATACAAAATGTCTCTGGAGCTCTTCTCTTTAATAATGAGTTATTTTCTTGCGATGTTTTTTCCTGACATCAAAACCGTGGGCCAGACACAAAGCTGCAAAACTTGCACCTGCAGACTGAACTTTCTTGAACAGATCCTCCACGGGACGTGAGGACATCAAACCACGGGAAGGCGGGGTGGGCAGGCGGCGGCTCACGTGGTCCCCCAAGCTCCAGCTTGGGATTTTGGACAGACCAGAACCAGCAGGACTCGTTTAGTGCTTGTTCCACTGCTGGTCACGCTGCGGTGAGAGATGAAGTATTAACTGGCCATGGGCCTGGAAATGGGAGCTCTGGAGCAGAGCGAAGCTGTTTCATTTTTGCCATAAAATATCAGGATGCATTTACCAAACGTTTTCAGCTGGCAAAAAAAAAAAAAAAAATTAAAAAAATTTTGGACTGGATTTGCATTTCTGCTCATGGTAGGGGCCTGGCGTTAACCTAGCAGGCTTATTGCCTGCTCCTTGCTACAACCCAGCTTTTGGTGGCCTCCTGTTTCGCATGTAAGTGCACTGGTCACCTAAAACCAAAGGAGGGAGGTTGGACATGACAGGGGCTTGAGTTTCTGTGCTTTGAAGCCGTGGTTTCATGCACCTGGTGAGCTGCTTGAACGGCTCAGTGCTATGTAACCTCTCGTCCTCTTTTTCCCAGCTGTGAGGTCCTGTGAGCCAGTTCAGCTCGCTCAGCCCGCAGAAACCAGCTGCTTTCTGCTCCTTGTTGGGTTGGCTCCCTGAGCTGAGCCAACCAGGCTGACTGGAGCGTTTGGTGGGAAGGAGGAGAGGGAGCGAGACCTCTCTTCTTTAGGGGGAAGTATTACGTTAGTTCTCTCCTTCTGAGGAGCTTCACCGTGCAGCATGCATCCTGCTAAGCTCAATCCTCGTGTGTCACCATAGTGAGCGTTGAGTCGCTCCATGTGGGGAGGAAAATAGGTGGCACAAGGAGTGCCCTAAGGCCAGCTAGAAGCCTGGACATGTATCTGGCTGCACACCTAAGGACTGATGTTTTATTTTCCATTGACTGTTTGTTGTAAGGTGCATAAACAGCAGGGGGAGGATGGACTGGAACCAAAAATTTTCTAAACTCAAAATGGTCTCCCCTTGTGATCTCTCCTTCCAGCCCATTTTATTTGCAGAGATAAGTGTTGACTCTGATAATACTGGGGTGCAGATGATTAGGCTGAGCTGTCTTTCAGTTTGTCCTTTTGTTACCGTCCTCTGAGGCTTGGCCTTTTTATTGTTTAAATTTGTTTGTTTATTCCATTTGGAGAAATCAGCTGGACTGTGTTAGCAACTAGCCCAAAGAGAGAGAGGCTAATTATCATAATTATTATTGGAGGGCCAAGCTGGAAGATTTACAACCTGAGGCCACTTCAGGAGAAAAAGATAGAGAAATGTATAGTGCTCTGGATTCTCAGGAGTTTGAGATACCCTGTGTTTGAAATGTTTCCAAGTTCTGGGATAGAATTAGGGACATCAGTGAATAAATTTCATATATTCCGTATAATTTTGTATGTGGTCTGAGTTTGGCTTGGCTTTTTTTTTTTTTTAAAACCAGATTTGGGAATGAAGGTTGACTGTTATCCACCTAGAGAATCAGAGAGGAAACTAGGTATTCCCTTGGGAGATGTTTCAACCTTTTGAAGCTGCGAGAAATGTAGACAAGCAGCCTGGCTGAAGTAACCATTGATACATACAGGGAGGCAGTGCTGGGAAATACGTCGCTACACATTAAGCAGTCATGACAATTTAGAAAAAGGATCCTTGTCCTCTTGTTATGTTTTAAATCTGTTCAGAGCACATGTAGCTGATCTGTCCCCTTAGGCTGCACGTACATGTATTTTTGAAACACGCTGAACCAGTTTCTGGGGTCTGGAGCCCCTTGAGCATCCTATCGATGCCTCTTTGGCATGTACTGTCTTGCATGCAGAGCTCTTGCCGGGTCTTCCTGGTGTGGAAATTAGACTGTGTCGTGGGTACACTCTTGATAAGAAGATTCAGTATTGCTAGGGAATTTCCCTTGACCTGGGAAGTGTTTACAGGGTACTGCACTACAAGGAGGTTGCACAAACCTCCAGTCTTTGATTATGTTCCTTTTACTTTGTGATTGGCACCGGAAAAAGCAAGGGCAACTTTGGGTATCCACAGAAGCAGAATTATTGGCACCTCAGGAACTTCCAGGCACAACAGGTGGACCCTAAATAAAGGGTGGCTCTGAGTCAGTTTCTTATTTAATCTAAATCCCAGTTTTTTCAGTTAGACCCCTAAAGTTTGTCCAAACCTTTCAGGGAGGAAGTGCGTTTAATAGTATAAATCTGCAGTAGCCTTGTGACTGCTGATGGACTCGGGCACCAATGCCAGGGGAATTTTTATCAGTTCACAAGGTAATGATGAGGGTGATAGTGTCCAGCAGCAGAATCAGAAATGTATCGTGGTGGCAGGAGAATTTTGCATGAACACAGAGGAATGACTCCAGGGGCCGACTAATACATAGTGGTGTTCTGGACTTCTTGTTGACAGTTTTCAAAGTAGTGCTACTGTAAAGGAACAATTAAACAGGTGGTTCTAACTTCTAACACTGACTGTTTTACATGAAGTCGATGTATCACTGTAGCCCATGGCACTAATACCTTAAACATGAAAAGTGGCCTGTGGCCATTGATGAAGGAGCCAATTTCTGTACTTTGCTAGATCACAAATAGAAATGATTGATTTAAGCCTCCAGCACAAACATGCGCTTGCCAGTTCTCCAGTTGGAGATTTCCACTCTTGGAATAGGCATTGCCTTGCCTAGATGAAAACTTTGGAGTCCGCTGCCAGGTCTTTTGCCAGAATCATTAAACTGGTTGAAAGAACAGCACTGTCATTTGTCTTCTGTTTGATAGCTGGTGGGCGTAAATCCAGAGCAGCATGAACACAAGATCAGGACTTTTCTCTCCATTTAAAAAATAAATTTAAATTGTTTTCTTGGGTTTCAATAGCATGTGTACTAGGCCCAGAGCTTATGCTGTCTAATGCTCTGTAATGCCCTCAGCCGAGTGTAAGAGAAAAAGCTTGCATGGCACAGAGGCTGCTAATAAGGCAGTTCCCACCTGTCACTGAAGGTTACTGCTGGTAACACATCGAGTACAACAACAAAGTCCTGGAGCTTCTATTCCGTTTTCCAAGAACAGCTGTTCTGTGTTTTACAAGGGAAAGGATCTGAGGAATATGATTTACTATTACTAAGCATTGCAGTTACCCACGTGTTTGTCTTTTCCAGACAATATTTAACAGTCAACCAACAGGCACGTCCTGACAACGCTGACGGGACACGGGGTCCGTGGATGTGCTGCAGGGTTCGAGGCAGTGGTGTGAGTAGCGGCAGGTTGCTGGTATGAGAAGGAAGTTCGATGTCATCTGGGCTGGCCTCCTGCTCAGCTACAGTCAGACAACCTCCTCCAAGCACTTCTGCCTGAACCCTTTGGCCCATCTACAGAAGAAGGCACCTCATCCTCTCCTGCTAGTCAAAGTAGAGGATCCACCGATGCCATTAGTAATTTGTACTAGCAATGAGTCATTGTTTGCTTTTGAACTGTGCCTTATGTCTATTTTAACTTGTCTGGATTTAGCCTGCAGCTATTTGTCTGTTGCCAGTGATTTAAAGCACTCGGGTAAGTCCCTCTAGTAAAATACAGTAAGATGACTTGGGCTACTCGCTAAGCCAAACAGACGGACCTTTTAAGTCTCTCACCGTCAGACAGTTCTGTCAGCCCTCAGATTGTTTTCTGTGGTTGTTTTCTGCTCGCTCTCCATTTTGCCAGAGTCTGCAATTGGGCAAATACAGCATAAAAATCAGATCCCAGCAGCGCTGAAGAAGTAGCATGGAACTGGACCGGACCCAGCACACTGTGATGGGGTGCCTGGGCTTCCCCTCTTCCCCAAGCTGCAACCCAGCACCCAGCTCAGCTGCCACCTCTCTCCAGAGGTGCCTATGCTTTCTGGTTTGACACTAATTTAACGGTGCCTTCCCTGCACTCCCAGAGGTGCAGAAGCCTCCATTATTTCCAGCGATTTGACTTCTGACTCATCACTGAGTTTGTTGATGGTCCAAAGAGTTGGTGCTCCTGGTCAGAGGTCCCCAGGAGGTCCAGCACAGCAGGACACCCTCAAACCCTCTGGCCCAGGGGCTGGTACAGACACGGTGGCACCTGGCAGTGGTAGTAGGCAATCTCACTGAGCTGCTCTTTCTCCAGTGCCTGCAGGACTTGAAGGCTCAGCCCGGATTTCCGAGGAGGGTGACTCACTCAGCAACTGTTTAAGGTGCAGTAAGTAAATAGGCTTTGGGAGGGGTGCCTGGGTGTGAGGAGACCCTGCCCAGCTCAATTGGTCTCTTCTCAAGGATGGTGATGGTGCACTGGAGAGAAAAGATGCTGATATTTATCATACACGACAGAAAGGCTTCTACTCCCTCTGCTCCTTGCCGCTCACAGCCTCACGGTGAGGATGTGTTTTGAAAGCAGCAGCTCAGGTGTCTCCCCTCTGAGAGGACACAAGCATCTGGTAACGCTGAATGGGGCATTCAAGCCCCAAAGAGCAGTGGCACAGGTGTGCCAGCCCTGACCTCTTTGGCTCCTTCAGGTGGCCAGCAATCTGCTTAGGCTGTGGATGTCTCCACCCTGCGATGCTCAATGCTCCCCACAGGGTCCTGCTTCTGGGTGGACCCTGTGCTTGTGCTTCTGTGCTTCTGGTCTTGCTTCTTCTCCTTCAGCCCTTGTGGGAATCTGGGTTTTGAAATGCATTTGTGTTGGAGGGAATGCTGCGGTGCATTTGCAGCCCAAGGTCCCATGTCCCAGCTATTTCCCTGGCACCCTTGCACTGTGAATAGTTTGAATTCAGGGCATTGAGGTGTTCAGGTTGGGTTTTTTAGTAATTTCAAATGAACAGCTTGGTAATGTCACCTCAATTAGCCTGAGGTAATTTGTGGTGGAATTCTTCATTTTAAAAAAAAAAAAAAGAAAAGAAAAGCTGCTTTTAATAGTGAAGCTTTTGCAAATAAAAGGCCATGCTGGAGCACTTTGAATGTGATTACAGTGACTCATATTTTTAATGGCTTTTTTTTTTTTTTAATCTCACAAATGGCTTCTTTCCAGGCAAAGTCCTACAAGGCCTCATATAACAAACAAGGGTTACTGCTCTTTTCCACACATAACATGAAAAATATCCTCGAGCGGAGGGAGCTGCAGCCCATCTGCTGTAGCTTGGCCCGGCGCGCGGCCCAGCTCCCTGACCATTACGCAGGGCCCCGGGTAAAGCAAACCACCTGCTTCCTGCGCCGGGGTCCCGCCTCGAGCCCCCCCGGCCCCGCTCCGAGCGGGAAACCCATCCAAACCGCTGACGGGGGATGACAACCTTGGCATTCCCTCTCG